GCATTCCTCTGGTAAGTTGTACTTTGTACCAGTGGTGGGATTCAAAAATTTTTACTATCGGTTCTGTGCGCATGGCTTGGTGGGTGTGTTGTGGCTTGGTGGGTATGGTAGGCATGGCAAGTGAAGGATACTGCAAAATCCCCATTCCCTCCCCACCCCACTAACCTGCTTTCCAGTTCCATTCTCCTATGCAGAGCAACAAAAGAAGACCCAGCAGATCGGCTGGGACTCGGGAGGCAGGGAATAGATGGGGGTGGGGCCAGTCAGAGGTGGTATTTGCTGGTTGTCTGAACGACTCAAAAGTTCCACTACTGGTTCTCCAGAATTGGTCAGAACCTGCTGAATACCACCTCTGCTTTGTACGCTTAAATTGAAAACAAAAGAAACAGTGGATCTGATCTATCTGCAAAGTGCTTTTACTAGTGAGTGAATAGCCACAATTCTTGAGCCTCATTATAGTTCACTTCACTTTCCAAATCAGTGGCCTTGACTTTTAGTCTGCCAAGTCCCAATAATGATTGCTTCATTATTAATACGTTTCCTAACAGAAATGTTATGCTTTTAGTGATTTGCATAGCCAAAATACATTAAGGGTATGGGTCTAGGACAACTCGTCATGGCCAACTGGCCATAGTCAACTCATTTTGGGACAATTCAGTGTGGATCCATTTTCCAAGGTTGATTCCATACATCCTTCATCTTGCCTGTCTCCAAGTAGAAGGACCTGCATTATTATTATTTTTTGAAACAGAACAAAGTTATTTGTTCCTCCTTCATCAGCCCTAGCATCCAGATGTTAGACTAATTTTATTTATATTTCCCAGGCTAATCACAAGAAGGAGAAGCTGGTTTTGAAGTTGTCATTCCAATATATCCCCTTTAGGAAGGAGGTGAGGTAGGAACAGGAAAGTAGCCATCAAAGTAATTCATGCAACATTGCTTTTGAAGGAATAGTGACATCTCCAAGCAGTATGGAAGTGATCAAGATGCAGTTGCCATCCTTTGAAGAGCTCTTCACAAACAGAAGTGCAACTCTAACCTGCATGATGTCTCTCACGAATACCAGTGCCAATGCAACCTTCAGCTGGACCATGGATGGCAAGCCGGCCAACAATAATTCAGTGACAAATGAAGTCTTCCAAGAAACCAACTACACTTCTTTGATGTATGGCCAATTGCAGGTGAAACTGAGTGAATGGATCAACACCACTCAATTCGCTTGTAGCATCCAGAGTGGCCAAGGAGAAATGGAGATGAAGCATTTTGACCGAAGGAATGGTAAGGACTCAGTGATAGGATTCAACCAGTGGTAGGATTCAACCAGTGTAACAATTGGTTTAGTGAGCCGGCACTTTGCTTGCAAAACCAGGAATCTTCAGCTCTAAAACTTACCCTCTACTGCAGCCCTAGTGAGTAAAACAGCTGAGGCACGGCAATCCACTGTGCTGTGTGAATCAACTGAGCTTCAAAACACAGAAATATAGGACAGGCTAGCACGGGAGCAGATGGGCGGGACCAACTGATCACCGGAAATACTAATTCACTCAAACCGGTCCATACCAGCTGAATCCCACCCCTGTAAGGACTCCTATAAAGAGCTGGCAAGCAAATGATACAGAAGAAGGATTCTAAGTACAAGGAGATTGGGAAGTAGTTCAATTCAACCTTATTCTGAACTAATCCTGGTAGTAGCTATCATTAGAGCAGTCTTATTTCTCAACAGCAGAATTGTGGCAATGTTTTATTTATTTACTTGTTTGTTTGTTTATTCATTTTAGAAAATGTATATTGCCACCTAGACACACATGGCAACTTAAGGCGGCTTACAGGAATATAAAAATCTCACATATAAAACACTAAAACTAATAAAAGAATAATAATCTCATCATAAATGACTAAAAAATGTAATAATTTCCCACCCGCACCCACCCCAAACCCGGCAACAACACATCACACAAGCCTTTTCATGGGCTCCATCCTGCTCTGAGTTCCCCAGGCTTGGTGGCAGAACCAGGCCTCCAGCCTCTTCCAGAAGAGTGTTAGAGTGGGGGCCAGTCTAATTCCAGAGAGAGAGGGAGCCACCATGGGGAAGGCCCTTCTTCTGAGTCCCATCAGGTGTATCTCCCTAGGGGATGGGACCTGCAACATTCCTTGCCTCCCCGCTCTCATGGGTCAGGTAGATGTGACCAGCAAGAGTCAGTTCCTTAGATAACCTGGTCCCAAGCTATGAAGGGCTTCAAAGGTGACAGCCCACAACTTGACAATCTTAGTGGTATGTTTACAACAGAGCCAGTTTGGCCTAGTGATTGAGGTGCTAGTTTGGAAACTGGAAGACAGTGAGTTCTAGTCCCACCTTATGCATAAAAGCAGGCTGGGTGACTTTGGGCCAATCACCAGGAGACTGTGAGTTCTAGACCCATATTTGGCATGAAAACCACACTGGTGACTTTGAGCCAATCAGCAGGAGTCTGTGAGTTCCCACATTAGGTATGAAAGTTGGGTGGGTGATATAGGGCTAGTGCAGGGCTTTCAATCTCCTGGCCTGTGGGCCAGATACATCACACGCTGGCCATGCCCAGTTTAGCAAAGGGGGAAAGCATCCCAATATGCCTCTATGATGATATGACACCCATGGAATAGTCCCCAACCCACCTCACAGGTCTGTTTTCAGGAAAAGAAGAGAAAGAAGGAACCTATGTATGTTTCTCCACTTAAGTTACTTATAAAGTAATCAAGGCGGGATAAAAAAAAATCCAATAAATAAATAATGTTGATGGCCTTTAACTTAGGAATGTTGAAGATTACTTGAAAAGTGAGCAGCGTAATGGCCTAGTGCTGGAGACACTTGGGAGGCTGAGAGTTCAATCCTAAGTAGCGGCAGATATTTCTCTACTAGGGTTGAAAGAAATAAAATATCTGCTGTGAACTCTTTGTGGCATCAGGACAGTAAATGCTCAGCTCCTTCCAGTCTACCCCAAATTAAGGGATAACAAGGGTCATAAAAAAGGAGTTTTATCCTTACATGAAAGAAAATTAAAATAGTAGTTTTGAGGGCAGGGAGTTTTGAGAAGGAAAAACAACCCTTCTTTTCTGACCAAGGCTGCACAAAATCATGAAGCAGACTCCTCATCCTGACAAAACCCCTTTCTATTAGGCGAATGTGGATTCCTATCATTCACATTCAGCAAAGTCCCAACAAACAGTCTTTCAAGGGTGATTTACAACCACAGACCTTTATCAGGCTTGGAAAGTTGCCAGGCCAATAGTTTCCAAGTGCAACGCTATACCAGAAAATACTTGGCAAAGAGTCAGGAACAGATCTTCACCCTAATTAAATGAACTGATTATCTCCTGCAAACACCACTCTCCTTTCACTCCTCTTTATTCCCTATGGGAGGGGCCATTCACCTGTGCCTTTACTCCCGAGTCAACCCTTGTTCCTTAACTGTTCCCTTCTCCTGACAGCTCTGCACATATGCACACTGGGAACAGGCTCCAGCTGTTCTTCTGCCCCACTTATCTCTGACTCCAAAGGCAGTTGATAACTGTCAGACGGCCCTGACCCCATTTCTGCTCCAATACAGAGCTTTCTGCAGACTCCAGGACTGGCCCATGTTTCCCCTCAACATCCTCACTGTCCAAATCTGCCACCAGCCCCACTGGCTACTGGTGGGCCACAACACCTTCTCGATACAGCTAAGGATACAATTATGATAGAGCCCAGCACATTTTCTTTCTCAACCATGTTGTCTTGTCTTTGTTAATCCAGGGACTATGAGACCCCCCAAAGTGGATCTCCAGCGTCAATCATCCAGTGAAGACTTCAATGTAACCCTACTGTGCATAGCGAAAGATTTCTATCCAGATGAAATCTTTCTGAAGTGGGAAGAAGAGAACCAAGAAATTTCCTTCAAGGGTTACGACACCCATGGCATGAAGTGTGACCATGAGAAACAAACGTGCTCCTTGCTAAGCATGCTCGAAGTCCCCACAAGCAAATGGATGATGGGAGCCTCCTACAGATGCCTTGTAGCTCACGTCTCTTCTGAAAACATAATCGATAGAACAACTAATTTCTTAACTGGTAAAAAAAATCAATGCCCCAATTGTGGCGCTCTTGTTATAATGCACCTTTTATGTATCTTTCCATGTTACATTAAAACAATATGCACGAATTTGATGTTTCTTTCTTTCTTCTTCGATTGGCACCTGGTTTACACCAAAAAGAGCCACAATTTAAGCCAATGCAACACTCCAAAGATGCTATCTAAGGGCAATGAAGTTTTTTTTTAATGTGGCCAATATATTCCCACAGATATCCATTTGACATGCATTTGATGCTTTCCTCCAAAAAAAACCAAACAAAGCTTTTTTACTTATGTTTGAACATGACTTTTGACCCTAATTATTTCTCCTTGCTGGTTTAAAGACTGATTCAGTACTGAATTTTATGCTTTGGGGGATGAGGATTTTATAGTTGTTTCTCTAGGCATGATGCACTTTTATCTTGCTTTAAATCTGCTTTGATTATTTTATACTTTGGGGAGGGGGGGTCATTTTTGTAATTCACTCTCAACCTTTGGTTTTTGGTGGTGTGAAATATCATAATCACAGGTAATCCTCCACTTATGAATGGTCACTTAGCAACTGTTTGAAGTTAGGGTGGACCCCACAAAAGCTACTTATGACCTGATTCTGAAATTCAGATGGCCAACTCTGATGTGGTCATGTGATTGCATTTGAAATGTTCCACAACCAGCCAACGCTTACAGATGTTTGCAGCACCCTGAGGTCATGTGGTCACAATTTACATCATTTTTGCCAGAAATCATCATTTACTTCTGGGTTTCAGCAAAAAATAACAATAGTTTTGTTTAACAATTGCCACATTTGCTGAATAACCATGGCATTTGCTTAACAACAGCCACAAAACAATAGTTGTAAAATCAAGTTGGATGAATAATGACCCATTCTGCAATAATCGTGGCTTACAACAGTAATTGCCAGGTTCCATAATGGATGTAAGTCAAGGACTACGCATACAGATGTTAAATAAATGATCAGATAGAAATTGATAGTGCCCCTCTCCCTCAAATGTTTTCTCTTGGCTTTTCTTCCTTTACTTTTCAGAGCCATCTTTCTAATTTGATTTTTTTCCACTCCATTCTTCAGATTCCTGGGATTGTACCCTCATGGGAGCAGCTTTCTGTGACATTCGCAATGAAAATGAAGATGAATACAGTGAGCTGGAAGAAGCCAACGGTGTCTGGAATAAAGTTTTCACCTTCATTATTCTCTTTATTGTGGCCATATTTTATGGCGGCCTTGTCACTTTCATCAAGGTAAAAAGGAAATCAATTCAAAGCATAGAAATAGATTATTGCCATCTCTTTCTTTCTCAATTTCCTATAAACTAAATGAGTAGCTACCCATTGCAGCACAGAATCATGGCAGAAGCAACAAATATGATTAGGGGGCTGGAGGCTAGAACATAGGGAGGAATTGGGTATGCCTAGTCTTATGAAACGTAGGACTAGGATGACATTATAGCAATATTCTAATATTTTTAACAGATTAACAGAGTTGGAAAGGACCTTGTAGGTCATGTAGTCCAACCCACCACCCAAGCAGGAGACCTTACATAATTTCTGACAAATGGCAGTCCAGTCTCTTCTTGAAAGTTCCCACAATTTCTGAGGGCAACTTTTGTTCCATTAGTTGATTGTTTCTCACTGTCAGAAAATTTCTCCTTATTTCTAGGTTGAATCTTTCCTTGATCAGTTTCCATCCATTATTCCTTGTCTGACCTTCAGGTGCCTTGGATAATATTTTGGCCCCTTCCATTCTGTGGCAGCCCCTCAAATCTTGGAACACTGTTATCATGTGTCCCCTGTGTCCACTAGACTAGCCATGCCCAGTTCCTGTAACTGTTCTTCATATCTTTTAGTCTCCAGTCCCTTCATCATCCTGGTTGCTCTTCTCTGCACTTTTTCTAAAGTCTCAGCATCTTTTTATAGTGTGCTGACTAAAACTGGATGCAGTACTCTAGGTGTGGTCTTACTAAGGCTATATAGAGTGGCATTAGTACCTCATATTTAAGGGGCTGCCACAAAGGAGAGAGGAGTTAACTGATTATCCAAAGCACCAGAATGTGACACAAGAAACAGTGGATATCCCAAAGGTACTTTTTTCCAATAGATATTTCCATAGACATTAAGCAATGGATGGAAACTAACCAAGGAGAAAAGCAACCTAAAACTAAGGAGAAATTTCTTAACAATGAGAACAATCAAACAATAGAATCATTTGTATTCAGAAGTTTTGGTGTTCCATCACTGGAGTCTTTGAAGAAGAGACTGGGAACCATTGGTCTGATATAATATATCATCTCCTGCTTGAGCAGGGGGCTGGACTAGAAGACCTCCAAAGTCCCTTCCAACTCTGATGATCTTCTGTGTTCAGTTCTAATCATCCCAGGTTAAGGAATCTGGGTCCTCATTTGGTTTCTCCCAGTGCTTATTGGAAGTCAACTGAGAAAGTCACATGGTGATCACATGATGTTGTAACCATCATAAACATATGCTGGTTGCCAAGCACCCCAATTTTGATCTCTTGACCGTAAGGATGCTGCTATGGTTGTAAGTGCAAGAACCAGTTGTCAGGTTTTTTTCAGTGACATTGCAATTTCAAATGTCACTAAACGAACAGTTCTAAGTTAAGAAGTGTGTATATAACATTTGTCCTAAGTTCATGCAGGTAGTTAAGACATGAAAATGGTAATAAGCTAGATATCCTAGAGCAGGGGTGTCAAACTCAAGGCCCATGGGCTGGATCCAGTCCATGAGTTGCTTTGATCTGGCCTGCAGGGCTACTCTGGAAACAGTGAAAGACAGTGCCTCTACCAGCAGAAATGGAGATTGGGATCGTGCTTGGCCCTCCCAGGCTCTGTTTTGGCCATGACTGCCTCCTGCAGCCTTCTTCCAGCAAACACAGAGCTCTGTTTTCACTGGAGAAGGCTGCAGGAGACCTTCATGGCCAAAAATGGAACCTGGGCAGGCCATGGGTTGCATCCTTGGGTTCCATTTTTGCTGGCAGAGGGCTGCAGGAGGCTGTCATAGCCAAAAACAGAGCTTTGTTGATTATATGCTGTGTACTGTCAAACTGGCCATACACCCCTTCAAGTTTAAACACAACCATGATGCAGCCCTCAATGAAATTGAGTTTGACACCCATGTCCAAGAGGCATACACCAAGTCAATTATTTAACATTGTGTTGTTGATTTAATCCTCCACCCACCCACCCCTCTCTTTCTCTTTTCACAGGTGAAATAACCATCATCCCTTTCCTATCAATGAAGCACACAGTCAAATGAGACCCCATCTTTTCCCCTTCATCATCCATTTCTCTCGCCCATCCTTCATGACAACTGTTTTAAGCTACACTGTTTTAAATGTCACAAAAAAAACCTATCTACTTTCACCTGACCCTGTCTCTACTTCTGCAGCCTTAACAATAACAGGAAGAAACCAGTTGGTTTTCTACATGGAAGAAAAAAGGCTCTAGGAAAGGAAAGAAATTTAATATCTTTATCCAAACCTTCACAAATTCTAAGGAACTCATTAAGGGTACACAAACACCAAATTGTTATCCTGTCCCCTTACATCTCAAAGGGAAAATGTTAAAAGAGCAAAGAGAAATATTGTGCACTTTTCAAGCCAAACCACCTGTGGATCATGATTAATTTACTGGCATGGCACATTGCAAGACGTGATGGATCCCCTGGCATGCTAAAATCCCTTTTCAAGAATGACCCTGTTTTTATTTTTCAAGAAAAGAGGGCAAAGGAAAACCCTTTCCCCCACTTCCAATACTTAACTTACCAACTTATTTTTCAGTATCAGTTTTGTTCTCTTTTTTGTGTGTGTAGCCAGAGGTGGTATTCAACCAGTTCGGACCAGTTTTGAAATACCAGTCATGGAGATTTTGAGCAGTTCAGAGAACTGGCAAATGCAACCTCTGGGCGGCCCTGCCCTCCTGCCTCCCCCGTTCCCTGGTCTATATTCCCTTGTTTTTTTAGCTCAGCCGATTAACATGGCAGAGCAGATTGCTGCGCCTCAGCTGAGCTAAAAAACAGCTCAGCTCACCAGCTGAGTCTTTAAGTGGTCTTTGAGGTGGTGTTTGAGTGCTGCACATGCGCTCAAAGTGCGTTCTCATAGAACCGATAGGAAAAGATTTGGAATCCCACCACTGTGTTTAGTCCTCTAGTGCTAAACAGCTGGTCACCTTTTTCTTTAAAGTCAATTTAATTAACTACTTCATTTACTTCAAATTGGGGCCAGAAAGTTTCTTAGTCCAATGTAAAAAATAGCAAACTGCTTCTATAGCAGGGGTTCCCAACCTTTTCTATATCCCTCATCCCTAGAACGCTTCTGATATATTCTCACACCCCTTACAAAAGAAAATAATTATATGCATATAATTATTCATATACACTATAATTTTGAAAATTCTCAACCCAAGCTTCTGTACCCGCTGGAATATTATCTTGCAACCCCGGTTGGGAACCCCGTTCTAGAGTCCAAAATCAACGGTTGTTTTGTTTGAAAGTAGAGGTATCCAGAAACATGTGTTGTATGTTCCTTAATTAAGATTATGTATAGATATTATTGTGAGGTAACATAAATGAGCATTAATCTTTTTTTTTTCAGTTTATGAAACTGAATAACACTGCCTTGGCAATTGCATTTATTTTTTCCTATTAGCACTAAAGTTTGCCCTTTTGTGCGATATAAACTGTATTAAAATAGTTTTTTATTGCATTTCATTATATTGTACTAAGTTTTATGCTGTATACTGTACTATTCTTAAGATCATTGCTTATTTTTTCTGCATTTTTTTTTAACTTCGATAGTTGCACTGAATCTGACTATATTATTTTTCTTGTTCCCCATCATATAATTTTCTCATTAAGTGGAATTAGTCTGTAAAAATGTTGCTACTACATAAAGTTTCTCTTTCTGTATATTATTCTTTGTCTCTATCTTTTTTTAAAGGGGGGGTTGGAGGGACTGCCGTAAGTATTGATTTTACATCCAGTGGGAGTTAACTCAAGTCATCAAAATCAAATTGATGGCATTTATTAATAACAGCCAGTTGGGTGTAGTGATTGGATCAGATAAGAAACTGGAGTAGTGGGAGTTCTAGTTCCACTTTGGGAACAAAATCGCATGTCCTTGAGCCAGTCACTTTCCCTTATCCCTAGAAAGGAGGCAATGGCAAGTCACCACTGAAAAACCTTGCCAATAAAATTGCAGGGACTTGTCTTCAAGAATCAGATGTGATTAAATAGAAGCAGGGGAAACCTTATACATAAAAAGTCACAAATTTATAGCCTAAGTACTGATGGTGGGAATGTTTACAAGAAAGAAGAGAAATAAACTTTAAAAACAGGATGGAGATCAATAACAAATGTTCCCAGGTACAGATGTTTTCAAGTTTTGACTCTAGAGTGTTCAGAAATTAGAGAAGTTGTAAATTTCAGCACAATACTTTCCTAAATAGCAATAGCACTTAGATTTATATAGTGATTTACAACTCTCTCTAAATGGTTTACGGAGTCAGCATATTGCCCTCAACAATCTGGGTCCTCATTTGATCAACCTCAGGATAGTTTATTCAATTGTGCCTCATTGATTCAATATATCCTTAATGGGTTTGTTGTGACAAAACAAAAAAAACAACACTCCAGAAAGGGAAACCCATAACCCATCTTTCCTGAGAAATGATGAGATTTCTCAACAAATATTGCAATCCTGAAAACAAAGCAAATAAAATTACTATAGCCATAAATCCAGTGCAATCAATAAAATGCAACCCAATCAAACATTTAATAATGTTCATATATAAACATAATCACCTCTGCAGGCAGTCATTCTGTCCCATAACAGTATCCTTCTCATCACATATCCTTATTACTTAATCATAAAGTTTTGTTACAGAAAAAATGATTTTAGGGTTTCTTTCAGCTTTAGCATCTTCCTGTGGGGACATTCACCCAAGAATAGCTTCACTGAATAGATAAAATTCTTGTGTTGCACAGTTTCTCCACAGATAACCATGCATTATATTATATATTAGCATCAGGCCTTGGTTGGTTCCTAAAAAGCTAAAGACATTTTTAATCTTCCTAGTACACGAATATGAGACATATTAGGAAATGTTATTGATGTTGAGACAAAATATGTTGAGACTTTGGAAAAAGTGCAGAAAAGAGCAACTAAAATGATTAAAGGCCTGGGGGACGGTTTCAGGAACTGGATATGGTCAATCTAGAGGAAAGAAGGACTAGGGGTGATATGGCAGCAAATATGGCTGCCACAAAAAAGAGGGGGTCAACCTGTTTTGCAAAGCACCAGAAGGCAAGACAAGAAACAATGGATGGAAGCAAGGAGAGAAACTTCCTGACAGGATAATTAAGCAGTGGAACAGAAATTGTGGGTGCTTCGTTACTGGAGGTTTTTAAGAAGAGACTGGACAGCCACCTGTCTCAAATCTTAAATTTCTTAAAATTAAGAGCACATTGCAGAAGACAATCATTCATAAGAAATCACATAGATGGATTAATGTATTCACTGAGAGAGGAACCTGACTTGAAGTTGTTTTCACCTGTATCACAGGTTCAAGTTGGGGAAATTCAAATACCAATGAGGAAAATCAGCATTCCTATTTAAAGGCCATTTGTTGTTCTCTGTCCTCCAGATCAACTTTATTTTTCAAACTACAATATGCGTCATAAAAAATAAGAACAATTCCATTGTTGGAAGATCATTCTTGGGTATCTTGAGAAGAACATTTGTCTATTGTCTCCATTGTCTGTATGTGATGCCTGCTTGCTTTGGAATCCAAATATAACAAAGACAAAAGCTGTATGTTTATCAAGTGCTTAAACTGAGGATAATGGATGGATAGAATGGGAGAGGGGGGAGGAGAGGAAATGAAAGGAAAGGAAGATAGAAAAGAAGAAAGGAATATAGAAGGGAGGGGAAGGGGAGAGGAGGGAAGGGAAGGTAGAAAAAAGGAAAGGAAAAGAAAGAGGATTTCATCAGAGGATGGAAGTGGAGAAAGGTGAAGAGATAGATCTGCAGTATGTACATCAGACTATGGGGAACTAGAAGCAGTTTATTGGACCAGAAGCAAATCTTTTTCAAAGAAGAAAACAGGGAAGTCCAGTTGGCTTTTGGAAAAAGCACCATTGGGACTACCATGATCTCGATTACTGAGAATCTCTATAGACATACAATATTTATTTATCTTATTTATTTTATTTGCCAAAAGCTTACAATATAACAGAAACAAGAATAAACATAAGTTTAAATACAAGAAATAGGAACTAATGATTGGAAACAATAGGACAGGGACAGTAGGCACAATTGTGCACTTATGCACACCCCTTACAGATCTCTTAGGAATGGGATGAGGTCAATAGAGGTTAGTTTGAGGGCAAAGGAGTGGGGGTTGGAGCAGGTGACAAGAGAATCAGGTAGTGAATTCCAGACATTGACCACTCTGTTGCTGAAATCATACTTCTTGCAATCGAGTTTGGAGTGGTTTACATTTAGTTTATATCTGTTGTGCATCTATTGTTGTTGTTGTTAAAGCTGAAATATTCATTAATTGGTAAGATGTTGTAATATATGATTTTATGTACTATGCTTAAGTCTAACCTTAACCAGTGTAGTTCAAGGCTATCTAAGCCTAGAATCTCAAGTTGGTGCCCAATTCTGAGGCCCAAATTGCTATGAAATTTAATTCACTTCCTCCAGAAGTTTTGGTTGCTCCAACACTGGAGTTTTTAAAGAAAATATTGGACAACCGTTTATTTGGAATAATATAGGGTCTCCTTGTTGAGCAGGGGGTTGGACTAGAAGACCTCCAAGGTCCCTTCCAACTCTGTTACTCTGTATTTGCCTCCATTATTATTTTACAATCTCAGTGATAGAGAGAAAAGGGGAGGAAGCTACTATCATAATAGGGACCTATCATTATGGATTTGGTATGCTTGACTAGAGGCTCTTCTATGGGAAATCCTGTTGATCCCTATAAAGTGCCATATAAAAATCTTTCCACCCTTTTGAGTCAGGCAGGGAATACCTGACATCAATGTTTCTCGGTGTTGGTGGCTTTAAGATGTATAGCAAAGTAATTGCCAAAACAGCTGCACTGTGTTTTGTATTTATAGTTGTAAACAATAAAAATATATACAGGTGAAAACATTAAAAAAATAGAATGTGCAGAAATGGATAAGCTACACTTACAATTAAGGAAAAGGAAGAAACTGATATATTTTTTTAACTTGGGAGATATTTTATCAATGGTTAACTGACAAAAACAGGAGCTAGAAACAGAAATATAGGAAAGGATTAGTGATATAAGGAAGATATGATAACTTGGTTAAACAAATAGTATGATTATTATGGTTATTAACTTTAATATAATTGAT